CTGATACCAAGCTATCACGCCCCTAAAACTGAAGGTCTCATTGACCATCTGTCAACCCGCCAAAATACCTGTGAATGTCGCGTGGTTCAACATCATGTCTATCACATCCCAATAACCGGGATTACAACTCACACGTGTAACCTCTGTTTCATTAATCATTTAATTCAACGGAGGTCCAATGAGCCTCACTATACCTCATTTAATGTCCATTTGTATCATTGGAACTAAAGAAAATAAAGTTTAAAAGGTTAGCAAAACAATTTATGATTTTTCAGATTTTTGGAAGAGTTACCAGTAGGTGTTTGTTATAACTACCGGTAGAAGTTCTATCTGTAAGCTACCGGTAGTTTCCTCCTACTAAATAGGTACTACCTCTTACCTACTGGTAGTTATTGCCTACTGTACAAGTACTACCGGTAGTTATTACCTGCCGAACAGGTACTACCTGTTAAGTACCGGTAGTTATTGCCTGCTACTGGTAGGTTTTGTCCAGAATTTCATTTTTTCATCAGTTTTTCATTTCCAATCCAATCAAAATCTTTTCAAATCTATCCCAAACATGTATAAAGATATTTTCTACAATATGCATGATTCATACAAGTCTATTACAACCCATTTCATATAATTTACATGCCAAAATGGAATTAAACCAAAAGTTTTACATAAAACTCGGTTCAAGAGCCACAACCCAGCTCTTCTTCACCTTAGAGGCCCCGAATGTTTGTCATCCACCGGAATATGCCCCATACCTAAAATGTTTCCCATATAGGATGAGCTAACGCCAAGTAGAATACTTCCTACAAGGGCTACTCCCCACCTAAGTGCATATCAATGCATACATGCAATAACTCTTAACCAATATCCATTCCAATGCAAGAATATTCAATTCATGTTGGAATTTATCATGTCATGCCATGAAATGAGATGAGACTCACTCACGCACATCAACCCAAGCCTTCACCGGCTTTCACCACACTATGCAATGCAAGTGTACTACATTTATCATTGATAAAATACATCCAATGATCATTTTTAAAACACCCACTATATATTCATAAAATCACTTCATTCGTGGATGTTTCCCATCAAATGAAATCATTATATAATAAAACCATGTGTCTTTGTCTGGGGTAGCGGACTTTTGGGGTCGCACCACCTGCTCCACAAATCGATACACTTTTTTGGACTTGCACCATAGGAAGTGTATAAAACCAGTAACGGGCTTTGCACCCGAAGACGTGTCTAGTCCTTCTTGCTATACCCGACACAAGTTTTTCATGTCATGCAACCGTGCGACTCTGTCAGACCTTTGTCCAACGGTACCGAGCCCACTTATCACCCATCTACTTGGTGTTTGATATCAACCATGCACTCATACCCATAAAATGCGATGTGTTCCCGTGCAAATATGATGTAATAAATGTCATGAGCCAAATTAACCACATATCATGTCCCATATGTAATGGACGCCATATGGACAATTAAACCACACATCTCAACATGTGTCATGACAATTTATATTATAAGCATATAAAGTCTATAAATCAATACAATGTCAATATCTCAATAAGCATATATTAATATTTCTTTTCAACATATTTTCTAAGTATATTATACATCACTATGTCATAACAACTTGATTCACACATAGGCATTTTGGCAAACACCTTCAAGGCAACAATTCATGTTATCACATAAGAGTTTCCACCTCATTCACAAAGCATAATGTATGACATATGACATGTCCAAAATATCAAATTCCAAGGAAATCACACAAGTAATTTCCTATGCCAACATAATTAGGAATTGTTCTAGGCCAAATTTCATACTCATTTCCTCATTTTCACAACCATGGTCAATGACCTAGGTTATTTTATACCGTTACCCCATTCCAAATACACCCTAGGTAAGAAAGTAAACCAAAGTAGGAGAAACCCTACCTCTGGGAGCGTAAAGTGAAGGAAGAAACCCTAAGAATAACTCCCAAGTCTCAAATCCTTGATTTCTCCAAAACTTATTCTTTGAAAATACGGTGAAATTCTTCGTTTTTGGTACATACGCGTAGCCCTCATCGCGTAGACCAACTTTAATTCTTGGATCAAGCAATTCTGACCGACGGAACTTCTTGGATCGAAGGAGGAAAGTAGAAATTTCTATTTTTCTCTCTTCTCTTCTCTTCCAACATGTGGTGTGCTGAACAAGTGGGGAGAATATCTGATTTTCAGATATTTTTGCTCCTATTTATACTTTTAACTGCGTGGTCCACATTGTCCCGCTCGTTTATCACTTCTGGGTCTGTTTTTAACCTGAAATGACTTAATTAAATCCCGATTTCAATTCAATTAATTTTTATTTGAAATTTTATTCAATTATAAGAAAATTTTATAATTTTTATTTTTGTGGACGTTTAAAAGTTCATTCATCACCCAATTGTCTCGAAAAATGTGTAAAATTCAACTATCTCGAAATTCGATGAAATTTGACGTGGTAACTCAATTTCGCGATACGAATCTAACGATGAAGTCCGTTGCTTCATCCGAGCTCTATATAAATATACATTTTAATCACGCATAATAATTACAAATTACTATTTTACCCTTTGTCAAAAAAAGTTCAAATTTCTCCGGGTTTCACAGCAATTTGACTCTACTTGGCTCTGATCAAGGACATCTCCTCTAGTGTTTAAACATACACATCAACAACTTTGTGCTTGTTGACCCAACTGCCTAAACCCAAAACATCCTCATCGTTATCTAAAACTTTCAATCCATTAGGAATTCTAAGATGAAATCTGACAATCCCGCAGTACCCCAATCCCATCTCTTTCAACATATTCTCCATTTTTATCAAAGAAAGCTTGTCTATGTGACACAAATCAAGGTGATTCACCCTCCCTCCAATGTACACTCGATCATTCCCATGTTGGAATTGGCCAACATGATGCATTTTGATTATGAAAAAATCATCCGCATTGTCTGCAGCCAAATCCAAACAAAAAAACAACATTCACAATTAAAAAATGGAAAATACAAACAAAAAGACAACATTCACATTTAAAAGTCTGACCCCCCAAACAAAATAACCCAATTATTTAATACCCCAATAATATATACAACCAAATTCACTCACGTGAATCAGATAAAAACAAAACAAAAACAATATAATACAAAGCACAAACCCATTTTTAAATGATATAATACAAAAAACATACACTCAAATCTAAATAAAAGCTTTTACCATAAAACCTCACACTGCACAATATATCTCTTACCATAATTCGGTGCTTCTTGTCTGTATCTCTCTTCCCTTACCACCCAAGACATTTTTTCAATTTTCAAGCTTCAACTCGCAACCTTCAACCAAAGCAACAATGGAGGCCTTCTGAAAGTACAGAACTGGGTTTGATTAGCTAAAGGATTTCGAGTAGCCTAAGAGTTTCAATTTGGGGGAATTGGGTCTATGATGTTTTTACATGATTGCCCTTTAGGTTATCACGTGCATCTCACATGATAACTTGGGTTAGCAGCAAGTTCGACATCCGTCAGTCTTGGGGTCACATTGTCACCAAATATTAACATTGAGAGTGCAATTTGGAACAATCAATCTTTTGTGGTGCAAATTGAAATTTTTGCAATCTTTTGGGGAGCAAAGTGCCATTTGCCCTTAATTAAAACTTGTTTGAAAAACTCCTAAATTGGGAATTGTATTAGTATTAAAATTATTTTTCTATCATATCTATATAGATTAGGACTATTTTCTCTCTCTCTCTCCCTCATACATACACATATACATACATACATACATACATATATATATATATATATATATATATATATAGATGAGATAAAAGAGTAATATTCAAAATAAAAAAAATTAACATTCAAACAAAAAATAATAACATTCAAACACAAAATAGAAACATTCAAACTAAAAAATAGTAACATTCAAAACAAAATTTGTTCAATGTTCTATGTTACTATTTTTTTTAATTGATCATTTTAGTATTTTTTTTATTGGGTATGCTAGTGTTTTTGTTGAGTATGTTACTGTTATTTTTGGGGTTCGAATATATAGACAGACAAAGGCAGATAAAGCTTTGATTTGAGAATACTACTATTTTTAGTTTTGAATTTTACTATTTTTTGTTATATGTGTGTGTGTGTGTGTGCAGTGTTTTAAAACCTGGCCTGGCTCGGCGGGTTGACCCGGTGACCCGATGAATCAGTCCCCTAACTGGACCGGTTTTGTAATTGGATCGTTTGAGCAAATAACCCTGAATAAAACTGGTGAATCGATCAAAAAACCGGTAACTAGTGAAAACTGGACAGGTTTACAAAACTGGCCGGTTTTGTTCTTTTAGTATAAATATGTCTTTTTTTTACATTTTTGTGTCTTTTGCTTTTCCCCTTCTGTTTTGTCCTAAATCCTAAATCATTCGTTCAGTGTTTGTTAACTCAAAAATTAAGTGAATGCAATTAAGTGATTCAGGTTTGAGAGTGGAGGTTGGGCTGTTAATTGAATGCATTGGTTTGTTAATTGAATGCAATTAAGTGATTCAGGCTTGATAACTTTGTTTGATTTAATATATATTAAACATGTTATTTTTATAACTATTTTAATTTTTTAGTCTATTTATCATCATTAATAATTATTTTTTATTTTTTTATTATATCACCAGTTCGACCAGTGACCCAGTGGTTGAATCAGAAATCCATTGACCCGGTCCCTTCTCTAGATTGATGTCCGGGCCGGGTTTTAAAACTATGTGTGTGTGTGTGTGTGTATTCATATAATAAAGTAAAGCTGAGTTTAAATTTTGAAGACAAAGAGAGGTCTAGATTGTTTTGAGACAAAATATAAACACATTCGACGGACAACAAATCCCAACAGATTTAGATTATCTCATAAATATTAATCTGACGGTCTACAATGAATACTGAATTTTAATTTCCTATCTAACAACATTTCCTGATTCAGGCCTCTCTCTTTCACGCCTCTCTCTCTCACTTCTGACTATCTCTCCCAATCTCTCACGCCTCTATCATTCCCTTCCAAACTCATCCCCAAATTTTCTCTCATGAATCCATCTAAATATCCCCCGTGTCAAATATCTCTCTCATACCTAGCCCTCTCTCACGCCTCTCTATATCGCTGCCCTCTTCTACGAAGCACTACCACTACCGTGACCATTGTCAACAACAGCCAACACTTGCCCAGCTTGCTAATATGGGTCTCTTTAATATATGAGCAGTCCAAGTAAGTAATATTGTGAAAATGATTCACAATATGATATGTTCAAACAGATGGTGCATTACTGGGTGAATATGATCTAACTTGAGCGAATATGTGTTGTATGTTAGCGGATCTGTAGTTTTTGTGTTTATATGATGCTTTTTGTATTTTTACAGGGAAGATTATGGGCAAGTCGATTCGTAGCCTTGGAACAGCTCGAGAACATGGACTCCATGTCGATTCGGTCCATACGATGAATTTGTTCCACAAGATTAGGGAAGTTTGTGGCTGCTTTGGAGTGCCCTAAGAAATTTACTCTTAAAGATTTTATATAGCTTAACTCGGATCGGACTGAGTTGTTCCTCAGTGCGATACTCAATTTGTCTCCACAGGTACTTTTTTTTTGTTTTTACATGTTATTTTGGTAGTTTTTTTTTATGCTTCGTTTGGTTGTCAAGACAATGATGCTAGAAGAATACAAATTATGCTAAATTAGTGTGATGGATTTTTTTTTCTTAGTTTAGTGGGTTTTTTTTTTGTTTTCAATTCCTATAATTGCTTTAAAAACATTTTTTATGTTGATTTGGAAAGTGTAGGATAATCTGCATTTTATGCATATTCACGCATTTGAAAAATCTAATTTGTATTTTTGATTTTTCTATGGGTCAACATAGTCCATTGATTTTGTGGGAAAATGGGCTGAATCGGTTGAAATATTTGAAAAATTTTTGAACAACAAAACAAGAAGTTAAAGGGAATTCTTCATAACAAAAAGGCAATCCCAATCGTTACCCCTCTCTTTTTTCTTTTCTCTTCTCTTTTTGCAAGCCAGAGCTACCAAAGACCAGTTGTCAGATAACCATCGGACTCACCATCGAGGTATTCTTCGTATCCTTTCTCTTTATAACTAGCCAGTAGTACAATAGTATGTGGGCTTTCTTGTTGTCATATTCTAATGGTATTTAATTATAATCAAACTGAACAGACCTGTGTAAGTTTCTTCTGTTATAACCTTTTTTTCTCTCTCTTCCTCTATATCAGAATACATGGTAGTAAAACTTTTGCTTTTTCAGTCAATGTTTAATGAGTTTATGGGCAGTTTAACAATGGTGAGAGAAAAAGGATGAAATGAATTAATGATATTGCTTCCATTGCAATGTTCCTCTCCTGTACCTGCTGTGAAATTTTTATGTTTGTACTTTGTACTAATTGGTGTAGTGTGAACATATTGTGGTCTTTACTAAACTACAGGAATGATGAACACTCTCATATGCTTCAAGCTCATGTTTAACCAGAGATAATTTTGATTTTTCACGATAACAATATTGTTTGAACCTAATTTGTTATAATCATTAAATTGACAACGAGTTCTAATATTTTTTTTGAATCAGCTATCAATCCAATGACTACAATATTTTACGTCAATAAATTATATCTGCAAATTAAGTTTAAATAGTATTAGTGTTTGATAAGGTCTTTAATTACTTAATGATATTATCAAAAGTAATGAGCACCCAAGTTCTTCCTTTTAGATGTCCTCTCTCTCTCACTCTGGAATTTTTCAGAACTGTCAGCAAGTTCTATAACGGAATTTTTAGCAAGTTCTATAATGGAGAAAATAGAGGAGTGTCGGTTTAAATTTGTGTGATAATATATAGTAGAAATTCCATCCCCTATTGAAATTTATACGAGACCACATAGTAGATAGAAAATTTTCACATTGAGGGGTTTAAAATTGAGGGGTCTTTTGGTTTAAAATTGAGTGGTTTTTTTGGGTTTTCAGGCATCACGCGTTATTGGAACTGGGACTTTAGGGTGTGGGAGTGCAATTGTGGAAGAAGAGGACTTTATAGCTAAGAACACCACTTTTGAGAATTCAACACCTGAGGTAAGAGCCCTTTCAATTGTTAATAGATTCAATACCCATTGAGATTTCAATTGGATTTTAGTTGATTTGTTATGGGATTTTAACTTTTGTAGCTATTGGGTACTTGAAAATTTGTAGTTTGAGTTTGTGTGTGTGTGTGTGATTCAAATACTTCTTCCATTCTCATTTCTTGATTTGAAATGCATGACCTGATATTTGTCATGAAATTTTACTTTAGGGTTCAGGTCAGGTTGTGGCAATTACAGTGACTGCAGATCGTTCTACATTTTATAATTGCAGATTTCTTGGGTGGCAGGTATACTCACTGCTATTAGTCAATGGTAGAAAATATGATATTCCTTTAAGTTTGGATGTTGTATGAAATCTCCAATTAATTGAATTCCGCAGCAGACACTTTAACATTTAGTAGGAACGAGGAAAATGAAACCTTATAATATTTGTAAAAGTCTGAAATATTTCATTCAACATTAAGTTTGAGACTTTTCAGCAACATCAATTTCGAGATGTATTGTTCTTGCATAACCAAATCTAGAAATTTGAATGCATTTGTGAACCTATTTTTATTATGTAGATGGTTGCATTTGTGGGCAGTTTTTTGTTTGAGATATTTATTACATGGGTGGATTGAGTTTATAATTATGTTTTGTTATTGAATTGGATTATGGTAATAGTGATGAATACAAGAAAAATTTGATTCATTTCATTTATTACATAAAGATTGTAAATTTGATTTGGTTCTATTAGTATTTTTTTTCTGATGTAGTTTTATATGTATTGTTGCTTTAGAGAATTTTTTGTTCATTTTTTACAAATAATGCAGTATTTTCAGGTACGGGCAATTACTAGTATATATATATATATGAGAGAGAAATATATTTTTTGTTTTGAATGTTACAAAGGGGGAGAAAACTTTGATTTGAGGATACTACTATTTTTTGTTTTGAATGTTACTATATATATATGAGAGAGAGAGAGAGAGAGAGAGAGAGAGAGAGAGAGAAATAGTCATAATTTACATATGAATTTAGATAGATATGAGGGAAAGAAAATATGAGAAAGAGATGGGACATGCATTAAATGGGTAGGTGAATAAAAGTCAAATGTGTTGTCTTCCTAATAAATATGTATTGTCTTTACTAGGAAGGATATTTTTGAATTTTTAAAAAATTATGGACTTGACTACTTATTAATAAGAATAAAATAGAACTTATTCCCAATTAAGTTTTAAGTGATATACTAAACTAATTAAAAGTCCACTAAAGAGGCTCAACTCCAATTTTCGTTTAAAATTTCAACAAACAAAAAAGTCATAGTAAAATGATTTGAGCCCAAAATTCCAGTCCAATTACACATAAAATAAATTTGACAAAAAAATAAGAGTAATGTTATTCAGACTCAAAAATTTGACTTCATTTATTGAGATGATGATGTGGATTAATTGGAACCATTGAATGAAGAGCAAGTTTCAATGTTTAAGGGGACTCACAATCAATCAAAATGTAGAGTGCATCAGGCCAGCAACTAAGATCAAATTTTTACGTCCAAATTGTATTACTTAAAAAATAATAAGATTTTTTTACCAGAAAAATAATAAAAATTGAAAAAATACAAAACTTAGTGTACAATAGACATCACTAGGCATTCTCTCTCTCTCTCTCTCTCTCTCTCTCTCATACACACATGCATACGTTTTCCCTATAGCCATACTTTTGCCCTTACTAAAATTAAAACACAAATCAAACTATTTATTTTAATCCTCTAACTTTTTTTTTTTTTTTAATCTATTATGAGTTTAGTACTTTTCTAAATAACTAAAAACATAAAACATTAATCTACTGATTATCTCTAATTTTTTTTCTTATAATATGTGATTTTAGGGAAGAATCTTTGTATCATATCTTAATTTCGTAGGCCACAAAAATAAATCAAGTCTTATTTTTTTTATAATTTTAATTTTTTAATTCTAAGATAGTTATATTTTTCTTATTATAAAAGTGTTTGATTGATTTGTAAATAAAACAATTAGAAAACAAAATATTTGTATAAGAAAAATTTTAAGAAGATAAAATTTTAAAACTATTTGAATTTTAAATAAAATATTATGAAATATATTTGTCACTAGTAAAAAAAAAAGAAAAAAATTTAGGTTAAATTTAAGTAAATGAAAAAGAATAGATCTCTTAAAATTAGAAAGATTAGGTGGGTTAATCATGTGATCAATTACAAATATTGAGAAATAAAAATTGAATGCAAAACTTGACTAATAAGTAATAATCATCATCTCAAAAATAAGGATTTTTTAAATTAATATTAAAAAAAATTCATTTAGAGTTGTCGTTATGAACCTCAAAGTGTATCAAGTCACCCTTAATGGGCAACTTGGTAGATTTTGAGAAGTGCGAGTCAAATAAGAGATAAGGGAGATAGACAAATATTCGGATTTGTTTGCTAAATTGCGTGTACTTAACCATCATGATCTAATGTATATGTATAATATCTATGAATTGTATTATTGAACAATTGCACGCAGATAACATGGGTATAAAATAAAACATATGTAATGTTTAATATATTTTAGATGCCTAAATTACCAATAAAGAAAAATTATGTGGCACTGCCTTACAACATTGAAAATTTTTACTATGACACCTTATTATAATGATCCACACAGGATTTTTGAAAAATTAAAAAAATATATATATAAAATATGGATTAACACATATATGGCCTTTAATTCTTTTATGTCATTTAGTGATCAATTTTGTTTTAGCTAATCAGTTTTCATGGACGAAGACTCGACTGTGAGGGACGCGTAGAGACTACGATCATTGAGAGATGTGCAGACACTTTGATTATTTGAATTAGAAGAGGCACAGCAGGGTCACCCCTAGGGCCAGACCATTAAAATAGTTACCTAGAGCCCATAAAATTTAAGGTCCCAATTTAATTTTCAACCCTTAGTTTAACTTTAAGTTCTAAGACCATTTTGAATGAACTAAGTTAAAGGCCCAATGAATTTTCACAAGTCTATGTAAAATCTTATAGAAATCCCTAAATAAAACAATATTTTTACAAATCTATGTAAAGTCTTCTATAAAGTTCTAAAATATAACAAATCTTCTAAAAAAAAGCCTAAAAGTAACAATTTCTAGCTTTAAAAGTAGCACTCTCAAATTTCTTTCACTCTCTTTTCCTCCATTCTCAACTTCTCTCCAAATATTTTTATCCCTCTACCTCTCATTGTCATGCTTCAGCTCTTTTTCTTTACCTCTAGCTCTTTTTATAGGACTCCAATCAATTTATTCATCTGTAACATCCTGACTTCACAATTTTACCCAATTTATTCGCTTATCTCATCAGATCCAAAAACCACAAAAATGTTGAAACTAAATCATACAACAACTCTCTGAAAAATTTCTAATAATTATAATTGTTTTTCTAAAATATTGATTGGAGTCTCATGGAAAATTCTCACTTTAGGCCCCAATTTTTGTTATGCCGTGATTCCAAAACCACTCTTTGGATTCACTACCACCTCCACAAACCACTAATTAGCCGGCGCAACCCATAATGTTTCTGTCCACCACTAGACACACCTAAACAAACCTCCAACCCTAGCCCAGAGAGCCTCCTTTCCTCTCATACACGGCAACACCATGATCGCCGCAAACATATCCATGTTTGTTGTAATTCTCATTTTGTTGCTACAAGTCTATGCCAGATGGTTCTTAGATGCCCAAACTCGTGATTAAACCAACAGTTTTGTTTCACTACCATCTTTTTTGGGTTATCACTTTCGTCACGTCCATAACTTCACTGTTAATCGTACCATTTTTGCTGGTTCCGCGACAAATGGTGTTGAATCTTTGATCATTTCTTCAATACCCTTATTCATATTCAAATAAAATGATCATAAAAAATATGGACTCGAATGCGTTATATGTTTAACTGGTTTTGAAGACGAAGAAATGGGTAGAAAAATACCTAGATGTGGCCATTAATTTCACGTAGAGTGTATCAATATGTGGTTACATTCTCATTCAAATTCTCCACTATGTGTAGCTCAAATTGTATGTGATAATAAGATTGTCAATGCTAATTCAACGGTAAGTGATGTGAGAACAAATGAGATTGTGTAGAGTCAATAGCAATGAGTTTCAATGAGATTGATGATATTGGTAATCTGAATTGGAGATAATAGTTGAGTTTTCATATCGACAGAATGATTCGATATCAGTGTATTCGTTATGTTCATCGTTATTATCTCAAACATCGTCGTTGGGTCGCTCGATTAAGAAAGTCTTGAGCAAGAATAGATATGGACGAAAGGTTCAACAATCAACTAATGCCAACGAGTCCGCCTACATGGACCTAATTTAGGGACTTAATATGAAAACTTCATTGGTATTGCTTGAAAGAGACTTTTGTTGTCGTTTTCCGTATGCATCGAGTTCACCAAAAGTTAAATTTAAGCAATCATATTTGAACTTAATTAATTAACTTAATTACAGATTTAATTTACTAATTTAATCATCCATTACAATTAAACCAAAAGTGAACTTAATATTCGGTTGGGGTCTAATTGCAATTCAAGGGCAATAATGGATTAGATCAACCAACTATATATGTGTGTGTGTGTGTGTGTGTAAACAAATTAAGTCCTTATAATATCATTAGTTAAACTTTATAAAGACACGGTTGCTTGGTGCTATAAAATTTATGAAGTGTCGTATTAGGATTTTTAGATAGTTTCCATCATACTGCGAAATTATAGACTGAGGGGTTGTAGGAATCTTTTAGATTTACCAATCACACCAATACAATTAAACTCAAATAATGATGTGTATACCAAATTTTTACTAGAATTTGCTTGCAAATGAATATAGATGGTTAGACCAGTAAGCCCACTAGAAGATAACCGAACTAACTGATCCAACCAATCTACATTAATTTGTTAACTTAAAAGAAAATTTTACTTTGATTTCGTAAATAAAATTTGATAAAAAGATTTAGTAAATAGAGCAATATCTATCAAAATCCCAGTTGTACAAAACTTTCACGCAAGATTTAGTAAGTACAGCAATATCTATTTGGTGCAATTGTAAAATATTAGTATTTGGTGATAATATTTGTTAGAAGATATCAAATATTAGTCATTGAGTATTTCACATAACACTAATGCTATCGGGACATAATTGAGGGACATAATTCACTATAATAGGTTGATTAATAGTAAGTTCCAATGATGAATGAGGTCTGTTACTAATTTGTGTAAAACGGAAGCCAGTACACAAATTTGAATTTAATTGCGTTAAACTACAGTGGGGAAAGTTATTTGGGCAAAAGTGCATTTTTTAAGAAAATGACCAAAAGGTCATTCGTTAAAAGGAAAGAAGATCAAACCCCATTTGGATGCCAAACGACAATATGAGCTCCAATAAGTAATCAAGCGGCAAAAAAAGATGCATTAAACCGAGTGTCCCTTCGTCTTTAGCATTTTTCAGATTTGAATCGATTTATGAACAGATTGTGAAGATAATATTAGGAAATAATCGTTTCTAACTTTATTGAAGATCAAAAGGGGTTTTTTTTTTGTAAGAAAGGACGAAGAAGAAGTGATCCTATTTTCTTGTAACTATTTGTGTAACTA